GATGAGTGGAATTGATGAGTCGGGCCGTCGTCCGTGCCTCCCCTCTCTACGTCAGAGTGGGACCTACGCCGCGCCGGGTAAGGGGCGCGCCCGGTCCTCGACGGAGCCGCGCGCCCCAAACGACCCAGGCGGCGAGTAGTCGTCCTCGAACCTTCGACATGTAGTTGCCCAGAGCTTCACCTCCTGGAGGCTCCCCGCCGCGCCGAGGGCGCGGGCGATGGAGATGACGTGGGTGTTGATCGAGGTGTGTCCAGCGCCGACGTGGCCGCCGTATCTGCACCCATCCCAGTGCGTGCCGTTGAAGTGTTCGTAGCGCGTGAGCATGTGCCGCTCCTTGGCGGCGCCGACGGCGCACGGCGGGCACTCGCGCAGCTTCGACGCGTGGTAGATGCACTTCGTCCTCTCGCTCTCGCCGGTGCACCGCGTCGCGAGGGTGATGGCGCCTCTGGGGTGGTTGAGGTAGCCCTGCACCTCGTGAAGGAATGCCTCGTCCGGCAACTCGACGGCGTCCTCGATGGCGTCGATGCCTAGCACCGCGCCCGCCCCGAGCTGCTTCGCCGCGCGGAAGTGCGCACGCGTCGCCGGGTGTACCGACGGGTCGTCGACGATGGCGCTGTACATGTCTTGCTGCAGGGCGTCGCTGGCGACGTGCTGGAAGTGGCGCCCCGAGAGCAGCTCGATCCCCTCGTAGTTGAGCGAGCCGTCGGGCGACAATCTTGCCGCGGATGTACTTCCAGTCGTCGGCCTCGTCGTCTGGGCCCTGCTTGAAGCCCGCCGAGTCGTTCACGAGCATCGCAATGAACGCTATCGCCTCCTCAAGCAGTGGCACGCCCGACGTGGCCCACTCGCTCGGCGGCGGCACTAGCGGCGACACGTCCTCGAGCCGCCGCAATAGGTAGAGGACGTCCATCACGCGTCCGGTTGAGGCGGCCGGCGCGACGAGCCGAGGGTGCGTCCAGCCAGCGCCGCCGTGCCGCTGCGAGAGGTGCATCGCCTCCTCGCACCGCCGTTCCGTCGGGCCGGCGGGGTTGGCGTCGTGCTGCACGTCGCGGATCTCGTCGGGGGCGGTGGCGGTGACGGTGCGGAAGAGGTGCGCCTGCATCTCCCCCGCGTGCTCGAGCGGCACGCGCGAGATGGAGGGCTCGTTGCCGCGCGCTTGGTGGTTGAAGGTGGTCGACGGCTTGCACGCGAAGCGGCCGTAGAGCTCGGCGGCCTGCCGGAGCGCACTGCCCCGCGGCGCAGCGGCGCCAGAGAGCGCGCGCCGGCGGAGGTGAGCGCGCGCCGGCGGAGGTGAGCGCGCGCCGGCGGAGGTGAGCGCGAGGAGGCGCGGCGCCGGTGAGACGCCGTTCACGTTGGCGCTGATTTCGACCGCGTCCGCCGGAGGCGCGGGCACCGAGGCGAAAGCGTGCATGGCAGTTGGTTCCAGGTTTCGCGCTTTTTTTTTCCATGAAAGTCGATCGCCTTCCCGGACACAGACACACAAGCAGGCGAAGCGATGGGCTGCGGCACGAGCAAGCCGGGCCTGGCCGCCGCCCTCCCCTCCGCCACCGATCTCGGCGTGAGCGAGACGAAGCTGGAGCTGTGGCGCGAGCGCGGCGGCGGCGACCTCGAGCCGGTCCTCGCGAGCGGCGCCGTCGCCCTCCTCGACGCGCAGTGGATCATCAGCCACGCCGAGGCGGGCGGCGTCCTCACCCACCGCCAGGCGCTGCCCAAGGAGGCCTTCCTCTCCCTCGCCGACCTCGTCGAGGCGACCGGCGAGTGTGACCTTCCCTGGCTTCCCGTCGGAGCGCTCTCCTACCCGTGGCTGACCAAGGACCACCCCGACCCGCGCGGAGCCAACCTCGCCCGCGTCGCAAGGGCGCTCAAGGCCCTGCTCAGCGATCCCGACATCCCGCGGCTCGGCGTCTTTTGGGACTTCGGCTCGCTGCACCAGCACCCCGACCCCGCCAACGGCGTCGTGCGCACCGAGGAGCAGAACGCGCTCTTCAAGCAGGGGCTGGGCTGCCTCGGCACGCTCTACTCCCACCAGCACACTTGGTGCTGCGGCTGCCCTCCTTCCCGGACGGCCACAAGGCGGAGGACCAGGCCGAGGGCACCAACGTGGCCAAGTACTTGACCG